AAAATTTATATGATCATTCATTGAAAAATCAGAAGATTTTTCAATCTAATGAATGTTATGTGCTTCTTGCTCTGAAGGCAAATAAATTATAAGGCTATCACCAGCTAAAGTAGGAACTGAATTCTCTACGTATTTGAATAATATTCAAGGTTATATGTGGATTCATACATCTACCTTATGAACCATTTAGAAATTTTACGATTTTAATCGATGCATCGACTAGATGGTCATATGTGTGCTTATTATCAGCTTGCAATTTGACATTTGCAATCATTCGTTTGCAAGCACATCTTAGTTATATAATCAAGATTATTTGTCTTAACAATACTGGTGGATTTACATTTCAAGCCTTTAATATTGGATATTAGTTGGAATAACTACTGAATAGCCTGTTGCTTATGTTTATACACAAAATGGTCTAGCAGAATTATTTATTAAACACTTACAACTAATTGAAAGGCCATTACTTATGAAATTTAAACTCCCAATATTTGCTTGGGGGCATACAATTTTAGATGCAATAGCATTTGTATGCATCAAACCAAACAAGTTATTATAAATTCTCCCTATACAATTGGTTTTTGGTCAGGAACCAAATATTTTCCATCTAAGAATTTTTGGATGTGTGGTATATGTTTCAATTGCTCCACCACAATGCACAAGGATGGGTCCTCAAAGGAGGTTAGGAATATATGTTGGATACGAATCTCCATTTATAATTAAATATTTAAAATTATTAATAAGAGATTTATTCATGACAAAGTTTATCAATTGTTATATTGATGAAACAATTTTTCAAACATTAGGAGAAAAAAATAAGCAGCTACAAAAGAAAATTTCTTAGAATGAATATCATTATCTAGTTTTGATTATCGCAAAACTAGTATGAACTTAAAGTTCAAAACATTATTATTTTGTAAAATATAGTAAATCAGTTGCCAAACGTATTTACTGACTTAAAAGAATAACTAAATCTTATATACCAACTGCAAATGTTCCTATTAGCATTGATGTCCTTGTAGGACAATGCACGCCAGAAGTGTGGAAATAAATCGATTCCAAAGATAAAATCCTCGAAAAAGAAAATGAGCAAATATTTAAAATGGTCAAAAAGAGGAAGTAAAAACTTTAGAAGAGACCCTTGACATAATTGAGAAAAATTTCAGAAGAAATTCAGGTACTTGAAATCATTGAAAGTGAAGAGATCTCAATCAATTATATCATGACGGGAAAAAATGGAACCGGTAAATAAATGTCAACGATATTTTGTATATAATATAGAGCTCAATATTATGAAAGAAAAATAAGGATCTTGAACTTCTATTTATTGAAGAATGTAGATAAAGAAATGATTGGCCAATGTGGAAAGATGCAA